AATCTTAATACTTGGGAGGCACAGGCAGGTGGATTTTTGAGTTTGAGGCCACTTTGGTCTACTCTAGAGAGTTTCAGGACAGCCAGGGCTATGTAGAGAGACCGTGTCTCAAAAAAAAGAGGGGGAGGGATTTATTTATTTTCATTTTGTGTGTATGAGTGTTTGCATGTATGTGTGAACACGAGTTCCATGTGCCCTCGGTAGCTATCAGATCACCTGGAACTGGAGTTACAGAAGACTGTGAGCGGTAATGTGGGTTCTGAGAACTGGACCCAGGCCCCTGCAAGAGCAGCCAATGCTCTTAACCAATGAGCAATCATCTCTCCAGCCTGGTGTTTGTTCTGAGACAGGGTTTTGCTCTTTAGCCTTAAACTCAAAGCAATTCTCTCGTCTCAGCTTCCACAACACTGGTATTATAGGCGTGAACCACCACACCCACCTTTTAGATGTATACTTAAAAAATTGTTGAAAGAGATAGGGAGAGAGAGAGACCAGGAGCACCAAGGAGAGTCAGAGCTGTAATTCTGGCTACTCAGGAGGCTAAGGCAGAAATATTCCAAGTCAAGGCCAGCCTAGGCTAAACTTTCTCAAAATCAAAATCAAAGAACACAGAATCTATAGTTTAGTGGATAGCACTTTCCTAGCATGCTCAAGGTCGTGGGTTCACTACCTAATACTGGTGGGGAGAAAATGATTAAAAGGATAGATTTTGTTATGGATATTTGCCACAATTTTAAAAGCACTCACACAGTGGTTCACAACCATCTGTAACTCCAGGTCTGGGGCACCTGATGCCCTCTCATGTCCTACATAGGCTCCTGCATTCCTGTAGTGCACACAAACTCAAGCAAGCATGCACACATACTGATAATAAATCACTTTAAAGCCTTGGCTGGGCAAGTGGTTCAGTGGATAGAGTACTTACTGCACAAACTTGAAGACCTGAGTTTGAATTCCCAGAACCCACACACAGCCACACACAGCGGTGTGTCTGTAAGGGCGCTGCAGGCAGAAACAGGAGGATCCCCAGAAGCATATGCAGTAGCCAACAACAAAGATCCTGTCCAACAAGAGGTTATAATAGCACGCCCGTGCATGTGCGCACTCTCTCTCCTTCTCTCTCTCTCACACACATACACACACACATACACATGGACACACACACACATACATGGACACACACAGGGATGCACAGACAAGCACATATACACATGGAGGGAGACACACAGGCACGTGCACGCATGTGCACACACACATACATGGACACACACAGGCACAGACACACACACACACACACACACACACGGACACGGACACACAGAGGCATGCACAGAAAAGCACACACACACACACACACACACACACACACACACGGACATGGACACACACACGGACACACACACAAAGGCATGCACAGACAAGCACACACAGACACACACATACAGGGGCACACACACAGAGGAACACACACACACACACTCTACTGAGGATGCAATTCAGTTGGTAGGGTTGTTTCACATGCACAAAAATGTGAGATTCAAACCCCAGCACCATATAAATCAGGCTTGGTGACACATTCAAGAGATGTAGGCAGGAGGGTCAGGAGTTCAAGGTTATCCTTGGCTACACAGTCAGTTTGAAGCCAGCCTCTGGGATACCTGAATCTATCTCTCTCTCTCTCTCTCTCTCTCTCTCTCTCTCTCTCTCTCTCTCTCTCTCTCTCTCTCTCTCTCTCTCCCCCTTCCCTCTTTCCCTCCCTCCGCCCCTCCCTCTGTCTCTCTGTCTCTCTCTCACACACACACACCATACACACATCTTAGCTGAGCATTGTAGTGCATGCTTATGAAGCTGCACTTGGATGGCTGAGGCAGGAAGGTCAAGGTCATCCCTAGTTCTGAGGCCAGCCTGAGTTATTTGAGACCCGGGAGACCCGATTGTTCCAGGAGCCCAGGAATGGAGTGATGAGGTGGAAATGCTCTGCTTACGCAGGATGCGAGCTACACAGCTGGTGTGCCCAGAGCTGCATGGCTTTGGAGTTAACCTGACTGGGGTAGTGAAATCAGGTTGACCTTCATTCTGGTGGAGCCGCACCCAGCTGTAGCCTGGAAATGGGTTTATTTTAGGCAAGTTTACTGTACACAGTGAAAGAGGAGGAGGTGGGTTAGCTAATCTTGGTAGGAGGTCTAGGGTTTCTGTCACCTGGGAGGAGGAAGCTCTGGTAGGTAATTTCTGCATGCACAGGTTAATCGTTCATAACATCTACACTTGAACCTGGGGAGGCTTTGCCATTTCTCTGAAACCTACCTGGAGAAGGTTTTGGCATTTCCATGAGTCTGAGGCATTGAAATCCTTGATAAATGGCTGTTCCTATGTCAAAAACACACATTCACTCTAGACTTCATCCACTCCCCACAATGGTGTGCCACCCAACTCTAGGGAAGCCACTGGCATGTGCTACACTTATGCATCAGGCAGAGACTTTGCTAAACTGCTGCATAATAAGTGACCCCACACTCTTATTGATTCACACCAATTAGAAGTTCTTGATTTCTTTAAAAAATATTTATTGTCAGCCAGACAGTGGTAGCACATGCCTTTAATCCCAGCACTTGGGAGGCAGAACCAAGCAGATCTCTGTGAGTTCAAGGCCAGCCTGGTCTACAGCATGAGATCCAGGACAGGCACCAAAACTACATGAAGAAACCCTGTCTTGAAAAACCAAACCAAACTAAACCAAAAATGTATTGTCACCAGGCCGTGATGGTGCAGAACTTTAATCCCAGCACTCGGGAGGCAGAGACAGGCAAATCTCTGAGTTCGAGGTCAGCCTGGTCTACAGAGCTACTAGATACAGGATGGCCAGGGCTACACAGAGAAACCCTGTCTTGGGGGAAGAAAAAAACAACAAACAAGCAAAAAAAACCAAAAAAACCCAAAAAAACAGAGGTTTGGGCAGTGGTGGTGGCACATGCCTTTAATCCCAGCACTTAGGAGGCAGAGCTAGGCAGATCTCTGTGAGTTTGAGGCCAGCCTGGTCTACAGAGCAAGGTCTAGGACAGGCACCAAAACTACACAGAGAAACCAAGTCTGGGCCTGCTCTCCGCCTCTTTAAAGAACACGTGATCATATCCCCTGAGCTAGTAGATTGCTCTTGCAAAATAAAACTAAGTAAAATAAAAAAAATGCCTTGAGCTGGGCGGTGGTGGCACACGCCTTTAAATCCCAGCACTCGGGAGGCAGAGGTGGGCAGATCTTTGTGAGTTCAAGGCCAGCCTGGTCTACAGCGTGAGATCCAGGAAAGGCGCAAAGTTACACAGAGAAACCCTGTCTCGGAAAACAAACAAACAAACAAACAAAAAAATGCCTTGATGTGATTGATCATCTCCTGTCATCTTACAAATACACATTCCAGGCAGGGCTGGCTTTGTGCCAGATGTGAGGGTGACCCCAGGTCTGGATCTCTATGAACCCCAGAATACAGGCTGGCTTTGGCCCACACAGAGAGTAGGTTGAGGGTCACCACAAGGCTTTGGGCTAGTCTGGAGCTGGCAAGGAAGACCTACACATCAGAAACCAGAGGGCAGTGGGGGCTGTCTGTGGGCGGAGCGGGGACTCCACCAAGGCCAGTGTTCCAAGCCTAAAAAGGACCGGATAGATTGGATTTTCTGAATTTTTGGATGTAGAGTCCACTTTAGAGGTTCCAATCCATCCAGCATTGCAGCATTGTTCTATTATCTATCTATCTATCTCTACCATCTATCATCTATCTATCTATCATCTATCTATTTTGGTTTTTTAGACAGGATCTTACTATGTAGGACTAGCTGGCCTGGAACTTGCTTGTAGACCAGGCCTCAAACTCAGAGATCTGTCTGTCTCTGCCTCCTGAGTGCAGCCACACCCAGCCCTTTACATTTTGTTTTTAATTATTTTGTTGGTGTGTGTTTGCCTGTGTGTTTATGTGCACCAGATCTTGCAGGAGCCCAGAGGCTAGAAAAGGGCATTGGTTCCTCTGTAACTAGTTAGTTGTGGGTCACCATGAAGCTACTAGGAACTGAACCCAGAACCCGGCGCTCACTACCTGCTCTAACTGCTGAGCCATCTTTCCAGTTCCCCGCAGCCCCCTATAGCCCTTTTGTGATACAGGGTCTCAGGTAGGCCTGGCTGAACTCACTGTGTATGTAATGACTTTTGAGCTCCTGATCCTCTAGCCTCTGTGCCCATGCTCAACGTATACGGTTCCGGAAGATTCAACAGGGCCTTGTGCGTGCTGGCAAGCACTCCACCAGCCCTAACTCCAGAACCTCCTCACCCCAAACTGTTCACAATGGAGTCTCTCACCCCACACCACATGGTCTTTCAAGGTCCACCTGCACTGCAGCACCTGCCAGAGCGTCACACCTTGCTGACTCTTCTACTGCCTAGCCTCTTCAAAACCTCCACTCCAATTCAAGACATCTGGGTTATTTCTTTTCGGCTGTTAGGGTTAGTGCTGCTGTAACATTATTGGAGCAATTTTCCTCTTCTGGGGAGGACACTGTGAGACTCCTAGACACGTGGTTAACCACGGACCTGCCCACAACGGACAAGCGCTGGTTCTGCCTGCTCTTCCTCTCCAGCACTCCCACTGCAATCCTAAGCTGACCTTCCATTGACACTCATTTCTCATCCTGTGGACCATGCAAGCCTGACATCCAGCCCAATTCCTGACCCTTTGTGGACAATGTGGCCTCAAGCAGTGGTGGATGGATCAAGGGGAAGGATCTGATTGAGCATGCCGGCTTTAAGTTGTGGGGAAATAAACATAAAACCCTGGTTAACTAATAACCAGTCCTAGAGTATATTTTTTGATGGGAAGGCCTTCCAGTGCTGAGCAACCAGGCTTATTTCACTTCCCCAAGAGGCCATTAGCACTCCCAACCGGCTCCTCAGCTTCCGCTTCCATGGCCCTCCCAGTGCTCCACCCCCAACCCCATGGCCCTTTTCCAACAGGACAAAGGTCGGTTACTGCAGCACTTTTATTTTCCTTTACACAATGACGTGTTGCTGGGGCCTAATGTTCTCACCGAACAGTAGAAAACCAAAATTTGTCATTTCTTAAAGAATTGAGTACAAAAAACCTTACATAAATTAAAAGGATGAATACATTTACAGGTGTCAATGCAAACTTTCCCAACTCAAGGCAAGTTAACAACCCACGGCGGTCAGGAGGGAAAACACCAGAACGGAAACTGGGTCCTAAGGCTCGGACTTTCCCACCCACCGTTAGACCGGCAAGACGGAAGTGGTAACTGGTTCAGGAACCCTTGCCAGCCTCGAGAAATCCTGGAAGTCAGCTGTTGGTTTTAATACCCTGCACAGATCACCGCATGGTGCTTCACAGATCCACCAGGCTGGGGATTTCTCCTCCACAGCTATGCTCACCCCAGCCACCAAGTGACCGAGCCACATGACTAAGGACTAAATCAAGATATGCACAGGGTATTAAACATATACCAAGGGAACAGTTAACTTGAATACAAGGTCAAAAATCAGCAACAAGTTCTACGATCCAGTGCTGATATTGGATACAAGCTTCAAGGACAAATTTCTTTTCAAAGGCTTATTCCAGTTTCATGAGGCTAGCATGAGGTGTGTACATTTGCCAGGGCAAATTGATACTTCAGAATTAGCTCATGCAGCAGATGCCTGGCACCTGCTCAGTCCATCTAGAAGCATTTGCGGTGGACGATGGAGGGGCCCGACTCGTCATACTCCTGCTTGCTGATCCACATCTGCTGGAAGGTGGACAGTGAGGCCAGAATGGAGCCGCCAATCCAGACTGAGTACTTGCGCTCAGGGGGAGCAATGATCTGCAGAGGAAACACAAGGAATAAGAACCTGTCTCTCGGAGTTCCAACTCCCACCCACAGCTGCTAGGCCTGCTCAGGCGGAGAGTGGCAGGCACTTACCTTAATCTTCATTGTGCTGGGTGCTAGGGCCGTGATCTCCTTCTGCATCCTGTCAGCAATGCCGGGGTACATGGTGGTTCCACCAGACAGCACTGTGTTGGCATACAGGTCCTTGCGGATGTCCACGTCACACTTCATGATGGAGTTGAAGGTGGTCTCGTGGATGCCACAGGACTCCATGCCTAGGGGACAGAGTTCGTTTAGCCACTCACTTCCGTGTGGTCCGCCCCTTCCAAGGATACAAGAGCCCTTGGCTCCTGCATGCACCACGTTCAGGACACCTACCCAGGAAGGAGGGCTGGAAGAGCGCCTCTGGACACCGGAAGCGCTCATTGCCGATGGTGATCACCTGCCCATCAGGCAGCTCATAGCTCTTCTCCAAGGAAGAGGACGATGCAGCAGTAGCCATTTCTTGTTCAAAATCCAGGGCAACGTAGCACAGCTTCTCCTTAATGTCACGCACAATTTCTCGCTCAGCCGTGGTGGTGAAGCTATAGCCCCTCTCAGTCAGGATCTTCATGAGGTAGTCTGTCAGGTCCCGGCCAGCCAGGTCCAGACGCAAGATGGCGTGGGGCAGGGCGTAGCCCTCGTAGATGGGCACAGTATGTGTGACCCCGTCACCAGAGTCCATGACAATGCCAGTGGTGCGCCCAGATGCATACAGGGACAGCACCGCCTGAATGGCCACGTACATGGCTGGGGTGTTGAAGGTTTCAAACATTATCTACGGAGGGACAAAGAATACCTCAGTGAGTGACAGGGACCCAGAGCCACCCACACCCACACTCTACATGCTGCATGCCACAAATGTGATGTGTGAAGGAAAAAGGAACAGAACGCAAGCAGAAACGCAAACAGAAACCTGGAGGCTTCAGGGAGGAAATGCCAGGAGAGGAGGAACAGAACCCTGGAAACACCAAAGAAACACTTGAATATCAGGAAATGAGGCAGAACAGAAAATGACTCGTCAGACTCAAGGACAGCAGAGGCCTGGACGTAAGCATACCTGCGTCATCTTCTCTCTGTTAGCTTTGGGGTTCAGGGGGGCCTCGGTCAGAAGCACCGGGTGTTCCTCAGGGGCCACACGCAGTTCATTGTAGAAAGTGTGATGCCAGATCTTCTCCATGTCATCCCAGTTGGTGACAATGCCGTGCTCGATAGGATACTTCAGGGTCAGGATACCTCTCTTGCTCTGGGCCTCGTCACCCACATAGGAGTCTTTCTGGCCCATGCCCACCATGACGCCCTGCGAGAAAAGAGCCCGTCAGGTTTGCCCCACCCACCGCGCACCTGGGGCCTAGGAAGGACCCGAGGGAGTCTACTCTCCACTAACCTGGTGTCGGGGGCGCCCGACGATCGAAGGAAACACGGCCCTGGGGGCGTCGTCGCCAGCAAAGCCAGCTTTGCACATGCCGGAGCCATTGTCAATGACGAGTGCGGCAATTTCTTCTTCCATTGCGATCTGTGCGGGGACGCCACGGAATCAGCGCAGCCCTCACCGGACCAGGAGGAGCAGCTCCCTCCCCACCCCGCTCCCAGGGCGGCCTCCGGGGCCCGCGTAACCGTCGGCAACCGGCGGCCCCCGCTCCGCCGCGGCGCGGAGGGGCTGCGCACTGCGTCGGGCCCCGCCCTGCCCCCAGCGGGACCCCGAGCCGGGGATGCAGCCCTCGGTCCACCCGCCAGGCGCCCTGGGCTCCGCGGAGGTGCGGCAGGGCGGCCCGGGAGAAGGCGAGCCACAGAAGGAAACCGAGGCAGGCCCGAGGGCGAGGGCGGCGGGCCGCTTACCGGCGAAGGACGGGGAGACTGAGCAGCGAAAAGACACGCAGCGCGGATCGGCGGCGGAGTGTGAGACCGACCGCGGCCTCCCCCGCCGGTATTTAAGCGGGAGCGGGCCGCGCGCGCGCGGGCGGAGGCGCGCGCGGCCCCAGAACATGTCCATATATGGCGATCTTTCCAAAAGCCGGGCGCCCATTGGCCCGCCCGCCAGGGACACGTGGGGCCCGGGGCCCGCCCGCCCCTAGCCCGCGCCGCCGCCAACGGCCCCGCCCGCGCCGCCCCCGCGTGCTCGAGACCGGGCGCGGGCCTGGCCTCCGGGGGTCGCAGCGAGTGGCGCGCACCGGTGGTAGGCCCTGCCCTGCCCCGGTACTGCAGCAGGGAGGGCCCGGGCTGCGCCCCGAAACTGCCGGGCCCCAGGTGGGCCGCGCCCCGCGCTGGGGTGAGTCCCGTGGCCCCCGCCCCGCTGAGTTCTGCGCCCCGTGCACCCCCCCCCCCGGAGCTCTCCCTCCAGGCTCAGTGCGGATCTGGGCCTCAACAGCTGGTGCCTGGCTGGGGAGGGGCCATCAGGGTCCCCGGGGGTCCCGGGAGCGGCCACCACCGTGTCCCAGTCACGTGGGAGGGGTCACTGGTTACAGCCACGTCCGCGAAGGCCCCTCCACCGGAGGAGGGTCGTCACACATGCAGGCCGGGGTGGGTCATCATTGGAGGTGGTGGTGGTGTGTGGGGGGGCATTGTGCCATGCTAGTCTCCTGAGGACATTCCAGGGAAACTGAGGCGAGGGAGAACTTCGGACTTTCAGAATGGTCCAGCCCCGCCCCCGTCTTAGGCAAGCGGGGCGAGATGCCTCTCCATTGATAATGAGGTCCGGGTCAAACTGGTTTTGGGCACAGAATGCATGTACCTTAGTCTCCTCCAACAGGCGCGCGATGGGGCGGGGGGGGCATCACTGCCCTTCTCCCCATGAGACAGCTCAGGGAAACCTGTCACCCTTGGCAGGGTCGTGGCCGCACCTTCCAGTGCCCCGCCTTGATTATCCCCGGAGGGAAAGCTGGCACTGCACTTGGGTTTATTTGTAAGCTCCTGGAATGGCTCAGTGTGGCGTTAGACAGAAGGGCAGCGGAGGGGTAGCAGTGAGGGGATGGACCCCAAGGTCACAGGACATTCAGCTAGCGGATGGGGCAGTGCCCCACTCCCCACCAGCCCTCACACGGGCGCTCTCGGTGCGCCCTGGGCCCTGCAAGGTCAGCTCCCCGTCCGAACGGGCCCAGCAGCCTGCCCGGCCTACCCGCTGTCACCTTGTCATCGGGCCCAGAGAGAAGGGCGCTGGGCCCGCGAGGAGCCTGGGGTACAGGGGTGGCCAAGGGGCTGTCAGAGGTGAGCGCCACCCTCGAAGGGGACGCAGGGGCTGGACTTCAGACCACGAGCCTGCGCGACCCTCCGGCAGGGTGGGGGTGGGTGGTGGGTGGGTCCCGAGACGTGATGGCACACACTGAGACGGGGAAGAGGGAGGTTTCGGTAACCCCTGTCACCCGCCCCCGGCTCTCTCTGGAGCGCCTTTGTCTGCGTGTGTGCAGAGGGCACTGGACTCGGGGCCGGCTTTGCCCGGCCGGCTCCCTCCAGACGCCGGCGGGGGCGCCTTGTCCCCCGGCGGTGCGCGCGCGCGCGCGGCGAGGCCCAGGTGCGGCTCAGGTGTGCGGGTGGGGGCAGGGGCGGCGGCGGCGGCGGCGCGGCCATATTTGGCGATTTCGACCCGCGCTCCGCCCGCCGCCGGGAGGCCCGCGGCCGCCCTGAGTCACGGGGGCGGACGTAACGGACGAGGCGCTCCTCGCCTTATTTAGTCAAGCAGGCTACCCATTGGCCCGCGGGACAAAGGGGCGGCGGTCGCGGCCGGTGCGCGCCGCAGACCCCCTCGGCTGTGCGCTTGGGCTCAGACACGGCCCTCCCTGGGGGCCGCGGGGGAGGGTCACCCCGGGCGGAGCGGAGCCGCCGCCGGGCCTCCCGACGCCGCGCACGGGGGTGGGGGGTGCGGGGGGAGGGGGGAGGCGTTGTGTCCGCGCTGTGATTTTTCTGCTTTGCAACCCGGCAGTGCGAGGCCTCACCCAAGGTCAGGTCGGGGCCGTTCTTGGCTGCTGCGGAAGCGGGGGGCCCCACCCCTCTTGGAGCGGGCAGGCCAGGGGCAGCGACTGCAGGGCTGCCAGAAGTGGGCGTGCCCTCCCGTTGTAAAGAGAGACTCAGTCTAGAGAAATGACAGGAATTTTTGTTTCCCTGTGTTGGCTCTGGTCAGTTTTTATTGTGACCTCGATGCATCTTATTTCACATTCTGGTCGCTTAATGGATGAGAAAAGAGCAGTTCAAAGAGGTGAGGAGGGAGGTTTAATGCAGGCTGCCCCACCCTGAAGCCCTCCCGTGTCTTCTGTCAGTCCCTTCCCGCTGCGGCCACTTTGGATACTCCCTGGACTCCTGCTCACCTCTGTACTTGGTACCTCCATCCTCCAGCACGTGCTCCACCCCCCTGCACCCTTCCATACTTCCTCCTAACAGGATGGCTTCTTGTTAGGCAAATGGAACAAGAAACTTGGTCCTGGGTCTACGATTGGTCTCTACTATTCCTGCCGTCAGGGATGTCAGCCTAACTCTGACAGAGAAGAGACTGATAAGCTGTGAGACTTGGGGCAGGTTCGGAATGTAAGTACCAAGGCTGACCTTTGGGTGAGGGCGGGCTGCGGCACTGTAAGATGCTGTCGGGCGAGGGCTGAACTCCTCTGCTGTCTTTGAAACGTTTCTGTAAGTCTAATAACCCATAATAAAAAGTAAAAATGTCCGAGGAAACCAAAATCTAAACACCCTGAGTTCACTTTCCTGTCCTAGGCCTTTGCAGACACATCACAAGGAAGTGGGTATTTCTTGTCTGTCCAGGGCCAGCAGGCCAGGAGGCACAGGACTGGCCTTGCCCCTGAAGGGGGCACTAAGCTGAGGGTGAGGCTGACGCAGTCTCCAGTGAAGAGCATTGAGCCAGAACTCGGCACATTACAGCCATGAAGGTCAAGGGTCTGCGAGCATCATGGACACGCACCACATGTAACACAGTATGTTAGCCAACTGTGAGCCCGCCCCTCCCACTTTGGGGAGGACTTCTGCCCAGCCTGAGTTGATTCCCAACTGCTCCAAGATGTTCCCAGGTATTCTGTGTTCACTTAGTGCTCCTCTGTGTCAGACCTGAGGCTAGACTAGGCAGGACTGCTCACCTGTGCCTTGGCCTACTCTCACGGATACACTCACCCAGCCAGCTGAGACCCCAAAGAGAATAATTCTCCCCCGGCCAGGTGTGGTGGCCCACACCTTGATTCCATCACTGCAGCAGCAGAGGCGGGCAGATCTCTGTGAGTTCAAGGCCAGCCTGATCTACACAGTGAGTTCCAGGACAGCCAAGGGCCTTGCTCTCTGTTGGCTCCACAAAGTAGCTCTATAGCCCAGGTGTCCTCTGCCCTTCATTCTGCTGCTGCGAGGTGTGGTGTGGTAAGTGGTCCTGGGAGAGAGTGCTGAGGACACACTGCCTCCTCCCCGGAGCCCAGCACACCCTAACGCTGACATACCCCGCAGTTCTTATTCTCGGCCCTCTCTTTCTGAACCACAGAAGACACTAGTGGCCACCCCAGTCCGCTGACCTGCCACATCTGTCTAAACCTGCTTCTGGCTCAGCAGCAGGCTGGTCCCCACAGTGAGCTCTGCATCCCCCATTTTCTGTCGCTCACACAGCCTCATGCTCTGAGCCCTGTCCAGGGGCACTGGGGCTCTGGTGTGGGTTAAACCTGAAGCTCCATCCTTGCTTACTGAACCCTGGCTCCTGACCACTGCCTGGCTTCCATCTCTGCCCCCCACCCCCCACCCCTAGGCCCAGAGATCTGAGGCTTCCAGTTATACCCACTGAGGAGCCACAGAAGCCCTGCCCTTGATGAAGCTGGATACCCTTACGCATGGGAAGCTTGAGTGGAGCCAGATGGAGGCGAGAGGGAGGGTTTCCCAGCTCTGGAGGAGGCAGAAGTGGGCAGGGCCTGGACAACCAAGAAAATGGGGCAGATTCAGTTTCAACTTCCACCCTGACCTCAAAATGCAGGGATTGGAGCACAGGGAGGGAGGGACTCCCATTCTCCCAGGGTCCCTTTCCCGTTCCCAGTTCATCACCGTTCATCGGCTCTAGTGACCCCATACAGACCAAGGAGCAGCTACCTGGCTGAGGGCTGCAGGGGACAGGACAGGTTAACCGCCACACCATACAGGGAGTAACCTGCAGAGCTAGTCTGGGTCGGGGCCAGCAACCACCCTGAGGAGGCTGGGCCAAGCACCTGACTAGGAGGCAGGTCAGGGACGGACAGAGGGCTGAAAGCCGTGGCTCTGGACGTTCTGTGCCCTGCCACAGCTGGTGTGCACCAAGGGAGGAAGGTGGAGGGAGGCTGGAGTTCTGCAGGACTCGGGAGGGGCACTCTGACCCTACCTTTGCCCTCCCAGGGGAGAAGGGAGGCGTGACCTGGGCGGCCCCGTGGGAGTGTATTCTACAGGGCATGGGAACCTGTCATCTGAGGGATCCCAGCTCGCACTCAGGCCAAGCCCAGTGTCTGGCCCGCTGTGATAGTTGCCGACCAGTCCAGCTGCTAGCCTCTCGCCACCTGCATCCTCGGAACCGGGGTTTCCCGCGGAGAAATCTATCTTTAGAGGGCACAATGGGCCTCGGAAGGAAAACCAGTGGGGTGGGTGGTCGGGAGTGCGTAAAGGCTGTCTGCTCAAACTTTAAGGCCTGGGAAGCCTGGGCCGCCTGCCTCCCCCTCACAAACTGCAGGCAGGAGGAAAGCTAGGCGCTGCTCGGGCTGTACCTCCCCTTCCTGAGACCTCGGCCTGGGGCGGAGCGGAGCGGAGCGGAGCGGATGAACGCAAGGCCGGCTTTCCAAGGTGGGCGCAGGCTAGGGGCAGCTTCCCGGGGGTTCGAGCTTGGGTTACACGGACCAGCAGGTGGCGCCCCTGGGCCATGCGGAAGGCAGGTCAGTGGCTGGCTAGTGTCATTCCCGTGTGGACCGCCAGGTGAGTCCCGCTACTGACACTTACTGAGGTTGAGAGGAGTGCAGCTCACCTGCACTTCAGATCATCCTCACCTCGAAGGCCGAGAAGGACCCTGAAGCTAATAACCGCGCAGGGCCAGGGCTGGCCCATCGCTGAGTCATCTCTACCAGGGTAACCAAGGCTGGGTTGTGGCCAAGCAGCGGGGCCAAGCAGCGGGTGACCTCAGCTGGTACTGACGCACGGGGAGAAGGTGGGGCTGGCGCGGCGAGCACCCAGGACAGATGGACTCTCTGCCAGATAGGACCAACCCATTGGATATCGAGCATACACACACAGGGATCCCCTGACCCGGTGTGTCTGTTTGCTAGTGTGAGAGGTTTGCGCCCAGCTGCCTTGCCTTGGACTCCTCGGTGTCACTGGTCACACCGTCACCGAGCCACCTACCAGCCGTCATTTCTCAGAAAAGGAAAAGGACGGCGCAGTGCAGGAGGCAGTGCAGGTCACAGAGCGGAAGTGGTCTGCAGTGGAGGTTAGGGCTCCGAGTCCCGTCCACACACACCTGATCTGCGCCCCATTGAGTCAGAGGTGGTTTTTGTTTTGTTTTTTCTTCCACCTCTTTATCTTTCGTTTTTGATTTTTTTTTTCTGTTTTTTCGAGACAGGGTTTCTCTGTGTAGCTTTGTGCCTTTCCTGGAACTCACTTGGTAGCCCAGGCTGGCCTCGAACTCACAGAGATCCATCCGCCTGCCTCTCCCTCCCGAGTGCTGGGACTAAACTAGGTCTTTTTTTTTTTTTTTTTTTTTTTTTTTTTGGTTTTTTGAGACAGGGTTTCTCTGTGTAGCTTTGCGCCTTTCCTGGGACTCACGTGGTAGCCCAGGCTGGCCTCGAACTCACAGAGATCCGCCTGGCTCTGGGCTGGAGAGATGGCTCAGCCGTTAAAGGCTAGGCTCACAACCAAAAATATAAACTAGGTCTTTTAATCCCAGCACTCGGGAGGCAGAAGCAGGCAGATAGGTCTCTGAGTTCTTAACTAGTGTTTGATGTGGGAGGACCCAGCCCATTGTGGGTGGTGCCAGTTGTTGCCTGGTGGTCCTCAGTGGTATAAGAAAGCAGGCTGAGGAGCTGGGGAGATGGCTCAGAGGTTAAGAGCACTGGCAGCTCTTCCATGGTCCTGAGTTCAATTCATAGCAACCACATGGTGGCTCACAATCATTTATAGTGGGATCTGGTGCCCTCTTCAGGCATGCAGGCAGAACACTATGTACATAATAAATAAATCTTTGTTTTGTTTTGTTTTTTTCTAGACAGGGTTTCTCTGTGTAGTTTTGATGCCTGTCCTGGAACTCGCTCTATAGACCAGGCTGGGCTCGAACTCACAGAGATCTGCCACCACCAACCAGCTATAAATAATTTTTTTTAAAGATTTATTTATTATGTATACAGTGTTCTGTCTGCATATACACCTGCAGGTCAGAAGAGGGCACCAGATCTCATTATGGATGGTTGTGAGCCACCATGTGGTTGCTGGGAATTGAACTCAGGACCTCTGGAAGAACAGCCAGTGCTCTTAACCTCTGAGCCATCTCTGCAGCCCTATAAATAAATCTTTTTTTTGGTTTTTCGAGACAGGGTTTCTCTGTGTAGCTTTGCACCTTTCCTGGAACTCACTTGGTAGTCCAGGCTGGCCTCGAACTCACAGAGATCCGCCTGGCTCTGCCTCCCGAGTGCTGGGATTAAAGGCGTGCGCCACCACCGCCCGGCAATAAATCTTAAAAAAAAAAAAAAAATCCTAACTAAAACACATAGGTTGCAGCAGTGTGTGCCTGCGATCCCAGCACTTGGGAAGTAGAAATAGGGAGGGATCCCTGGAGCTTGTTGACCAACCAGTTTAGCTGAATCAGTGAGCTCCAATGAGAGGTCCAGTCTCCAAAAGAAAGATGGGGGCTGGTAACATGGCTCAGGAGGGAAAGGCATTTACTGTAAAAATATGATGACCTAGTTCGATCTGCAGAACCCACGTAAAGGTGGAAGGAGAGAACTGACTCCACAAAGTTGTCCTCTGATCTGCACACACACATAATAAATAAGTAAGTAAATAAATAATTTAAAAGAGAAGATGGAGCCGGGCGGTGGTGGCGCACGCCTTTAATCCCAGCACTCGGGAGGCAGAGCCAGGCGGATCTCTGTGAGTTCGAGGCCAGCCTGGTCTCCAAAGCGAGTTCCAGGAAAGGCGCAAAGCTACACAGAGAAACCCTGTCTCGAAAAACCAAAAAAAAAAAAAAAAAAAAAAAAAAAAAGAGAAGATGGAGAGCAATTGAAAGTCACCCAGCATCAATTTTTGGCCTATTCATACATCCATGCACACACAAAAGACATATACACACACATTAAAAGTCTTTGACTGATGTGAGGAGGGTCTAGTTCATGGAGAGCAAGCTGATCTCTGCAGGCAGTTGTAGATGTGTGCCTGGGCATATCTGGGCCTTTGAGTCTGTAGAAATGGTAAGATCTCAAAGATGGAAGCTAGGCAGTGTTGAGGGCTCACATTGTCCACACAGGTGTCTGTCTCCTAGGAGCAGACCTAGTGAAGCCCACACATTGAAGGACTTGGGCTCAGATGTCTCATGAGTGCTCCCTCCGGCCCTGAGGTCACAGACTTGCTGTGACACCCTCTGTTGTCCTTGGGTTCATTCCTCTTGGAGACTCTTGGTCTTGCTAGAGCCTTGGAGTTTCTGACATGACAGAGTCCCCGGTCTCCCCTCCCTTGTCTTAGCTTATGAGGCATCACTACTTTATGGTTTTTAAAGTGATGGAAGCCAGGAGATATCATGGCTTCTGTTTGTGAAGGGGACTGGGGTGGCACAGGAGTTGACATACAACAGATGTTTTGGTCTTTTTTGTGTGTGTGCTCTGGTGGAACTAGAGATCAAGCCCAAGGGCCTCACATCTAACAGTAAGGAAAGGTCTGTCACTGGGCCAGAGCAGCAGCAGAAACAGGTATTTTAGCCAGGCATGGCTTTACATGCCTGTCATTTTTTATGTGCATTGGTGTTCTGCCTACGTGTATGTCCTATGAATTTGAAATAGCAAACAGTGGTATAAGAAATGATGTAATTATAATCTCAAAATAAAAGAAAAAAATGGAAAACAGCAACAAAAAGAATCCAGGTATGTCAGTGAGCTGCCTTGCTCAGGTTGGGGTCAGGGAGTTTGTAGGGGAGGAGTGGGAGAGGGAGGTGAAGGGAGGTGCTCACTGTGCAGTCAAGAAACTCTCTCCCCATGCTCTTCTTTCTGACATGACCCTCCCTTGTTGAGCTGAGCCTGTTACCCTAAACCAGGTCTGCAGGCCTCAGTAAGTGAACCTAGGCAGAGTAAATAAAGCGAGGCCCCTCCCCCTTCGTTGTGTGTAAGTGGAACTGCAGAGCCTCCCATGAAAAATTGATTCAGGAGCCCCGGGAGGGAGGGAGGGAGGGAGGGAGGGAGGGAAGGAGGGAGGGAGGGAGAGCACAGCAGGAGGCAGGGCTTGGGTCTCCGCCAAACTGGACCCCGGGCAGGAGCAGGTGCCCTGCACAAAGATGAGGAAATCAAGGTTGTGGGTAGTGTTGGGCAGCATGGTGCCAGTTGGGTAGCCTGCCCTTTTTGCAGGGCCAAGGAGCCTGGGAGACCAGGAAGGGGTTGGCTACAGGGGTTGATGGGGCCGAGATCTGAACCTTAGCAGCAGCTGAGCGGTGTGGGTGGAAAGCCTCTCTGGAAGGGTGAAGAGCTGGGGTTTCCCGGTTTTCCTGAAGGGCTGTGAAAGGTCAGCCCTTGGCCACAAGTCTGCCCAGCTGTTTCCCAGATTCCAGGGCTCTGGGCCATCAAGGGGGGAAACACCCATCCCTGCACTGACGGGCCTGTGCCAGCTCACACCACCAGCATCAGTGCTGCTGGGCACCAAGCTTGGCCCACGTGCTGGTTGCCATGGCAGTAGGCAGCATGCTGGCAGGAGCCCCAGATTGGGCTAATCTGGATGGGGATGGGGAGTTATCTGGGTTCTGGGTACTATTAACACTGTTGGGGGCCAGCTTGGGGGAGAGGGCAAAGAGGCCCTTTAGTGGTCAGGGAAACCCATCCCCCAGCACTCTGAGAAATGTTTCCTAAAAGCTAGGTGTGTGGTGAATACCTTGAGTCTGGGGGCCTTCAGGGCACTCTCTGCCCCTGCCCCCCAGCTGGACTTTCCTTGAGAAGGGCAGACCCTAGCCTTGCCATAGCCAGACTAACAGCTGAGGTGACCCCTGCCTTTGAGACCCAGCTATGATTAGAATGGCCCACTCACTGCTGGTCCACTCACAGTGGACTGCTCTCTGAAGTAGAGGTTGGGGCATTGCTCACCCCAGTGGCCTCTCAGAGTCCATCAAAGGTGCTCCTCCCCGAAGACATACATGCTGAAGTTGGTGCATCAGGTAGCCTGGCATCTGTGCCCAGACCTGGTGCAATAGTGTCAGAGAGCCATACTTTGGGCATACGGTCTTCCCTTCTGGTTCAGGGTGGATAGAGGGGATCCTAGAAGGGAGGTTCCCAGGGTGCAGCCTGGACAGCCCGTAGTGCAGACACATATGTGAACCCAAGATAAGAGGTGTGCATGCCCAGCAGTGGTGGCACATGCCTTTAATCCCAGCACTTGGGAGGCAGAGGTGGTCGGATGGTCTGATCTCTGTGAGTTTGAAACCAGCCTGGTTTACAGAGAAAGTTCCAGGACAGCCAGGGCTACACATCTTGTCTCAAAAAACAAGAAAAAAAGTGTGTGTGCATTGGGGCTGGATAGATGGCTCAGTGGTTAAGAGCACTGGCTGCTCTTCCAAAGGACCCAGGTTCAATTCCCAGCAACCACATGGCAGTTTGCAACTGTGTGTAACTCTAGTTCCAGTGGATTTGACTACCTCACACAGACATATACACGGGCCAAATACCACCACACATAACACTTAAATGAATAAATAAATAAAAATGTAAAAGGAAAGAAAAAAGAAAGGTATGCTTTCTATCCTCTAAGTACCTTGAAGACTGGCAGGAGAACCCAGCCTGCCATAGACTTGTGTATAGCTGGGATATGACCTACACCCTGGTTAGGGGATCCTTTAGACAGTGCCCAGCCTGACTGTTATGCCAGCATACACATCAGCTGGTGTCTAGGGCAGCATCTTCAGAGGCTGGTCTGACTCACCAGGTGACTACAGTGACTCAGCCCAGCCCCTCTCCCTGTGATCCTTCACACACACCAACACAGACACACTCAATACCCAGACCTGCCAACAGTATTACGACTTCCCACAGAACCACAGCTCATTACACAGGAACTAGACCCAGCATCAGTCAGACACCGAAGAATCACCTATTCTGTGATAGAACCCCTGGTGGGATCCTTAGTGGGCAGTGGACCATAGGCTTTGGAGTCGGCAATGGAGGAGACCCAAGAAAGCTGCCTCCCTGCAAGCCAGCAGGCCTCCCTGCAAGCAAACCCTCCTCACACACCCTGGCCCAGCAGTCCTCCCTGCAAGCAAACCCTCCTCACACACCCTGGCCCAGCAGTCCTCCCTGCAAGCAAACCCTCCTCACACACCCTGGCCCAGCAGTCCTCCGTGCTAGCAAACCCTCCTCACACACCCTGGCCCAGCAGTCCTCATATCACACAAATACCAATAGCTTTGCTCCAGCTGGGGCTGTTGGGGGGAGTGTTCCAAAATTAAGCAGCCACACACTTCTGGCTGTATTACCAAGAGACTGTCCAGAGCCAGGCCACTTAGCGCCTGGCGGCCAGGCCTCCTCCCGCTAGGCACCTGATGCCGGTGAATCCTGCCAGCACCAGTCAGGCTAATGAAGCCATTATGCCAATCAGAGGGACAAGACACACAGGGATCTTCTGCAGCCTGGCTAGGTGAGGCTAGGGCACATTTGGCACAGCTGGCACTCAGGCCCCCCCCACCCCCCCACAGACCAACCTAACTAGTCCCTTGGGACCTGGTTGATGTGAGCCTGCTCCAAGCCAGGGACACTTCTCAGTATGGACACCAGCCTGGTAACGGGAGGCTTTTGCATGGACATCATGTCACCCCAGACTGTCTCTAGGGCAGTACTTGGCACACAGCCTGATCACACTTTCAGATGGTGCCTCATACATGTGTGGGTCACAGGCGTGAATAAAGCAGAGAGCTGAGACCAGAGCGGGTAGCACATGACAATCATTCATGAACCCCACTCTGAGCCCTCTGTGGAGGACAGCTCCCTTAGTTCCTCAGTGTTTCCACGTGTTGGATGGGTCTACCTCACCCTCTGCATGCTTCTTAAACACAGACACCTGTGCCAGTCTGCCCCTGTATAAATCCCCTACCAGGGCCACTTGAGGGTGGAGGGCCCAGGAAGATGGCCGGACTGGGCTGTGGCTGGAAATGCTCCACGTCCTTCTATTACTGACCCCCAGGAACGCCTTCACACACTGTTATGGGCTTCCCAGTCCACAATAGCCACACACTGTTAGGAGGAAGAAGACACCAGTTCTGGCTCAGGCCCAGGATGGGCAGCTCCAGTTTCCTGCTTGGCTCTGGTCCCCTTAGGCAGGTGCAGCACACAGGAAAGCAGGGTAAAACTGAGCAGGGCTGCTAAAGCTCTCTAAGATTCCTCTCAGACTCAGGATGGAGAGGGTACAGTGAGGTGGTCCCAGGGGTAAAAAGGACCCCGAGGTCATGTGTGGCCAGCTTCCAGCATTTCCTGAACTGCACATCCCATCCCCCACTCTTCGATTCCATGGGGACACTTTTGGAAACATAGGGAAGACTGTTCTTCCCTACACAGCCCCTATATTCATCTTTAAGGCCACAAGTCAAGCCTGTAACCCCCTGTGATCTGAGCAGCAGTAATGGGGTCCCCAAACCTCCTGAAGGCCCTTGAAGCTGGATCACCCTGGGCTCCCTGCATAGAGGAGAAGTACATAGGAGCCCTGGCACACCCTGGGTCTTTGCCAGTCACAGGGATGTTTTTCCACACAATACAGTCCTGTGTGCGTCACACCGTCTCCCTAGCTCACCATATGAGGCTGGTCTTCTCAAACCAAGAGGATCAGGAATACCGACCAGGGCACCTGTCGCAGGGTCAAGGTGTCCCAGCCTTACCACTGGCCCTTACACCCTTCCTACTGCCTTCCAGCCCACAGACAGGGACAGTGTCAGACCCAGGGCCACACACGGATAGGAACTGTGGGCCAGGGGGACAGGCCAGGATGATGCTGCATGCTACAAGGGGCCATTTGCTCCTGGCAGCAGGAATCAGAGACGCAGTAACTGGATCCTGCAGAGGATCTGGCGGCCACTGAGGGTGGAGGGCTGCGATCAGGTTGCCACCCTGCTGTGAGTTTTCCACTGGGCAGCTTTTTCTACCTTGGGAAAGAGCTGGGCTGGACTGGGGGGTCTAAGCTGGGGGTGGAAGGCTCTGGAGCAATAGGCAGCAAGAAGAGAAGCTAAGAGGTGAGGGACCCACGAGATAGGACGTAGGACCCAGTTAGCTGTGGGTGAGGACAAGGAGGTAGTCAGTCTTGCTCTTGTCCTGCTGGGCATCAGGCTTTGGACTTGGTGCTATCCAGGAGTCACTGAAATCCAAGCTGGGGGTAAGGCAAGGTGGCTACTCCTCCTAAGCCGGTGCATCTCTGATCCGCCCCCCTCACCCGCCCTCGGCTGCCCGCTGGCCATGTAAGATCTGCCGGGGTGGCCAAGGCCACAAGACAGAGGCAGTGTTGGAGCAGGTAGTGTCCATGTCACTGGCTAGGCTTGGAGGCCAAGGGCCAGCTGAACAGAGCTGGGCCTCTGGGGAGGCCACAGGGCCCCCGAACACTCAGAGAGAGCTTCCCAGGACTCTGAAGCAACGTGGCTAGCCTCAAAGATGCCAACCAACGGATTGCACCAGGTACTGAAGATCCAATTTGGCCTTGTCAACGATGCCAACCGCTACCTGACAGCGGAGAGCTTTGGCTTCAAGGTCAACGCCTCGGCGCCCAGCCTTAAGAGGAAGCAGACATGGGTCCTGGAGCCCGACCCAGGGCAGGGCACCGCCGTGCTCTTTCGCAGCAGTCACCTCGGCCGCTACCTGTCAGCAGAAGAAGATGGACGTGTGGCCTGTGAGATGGATCGGCCAGGCCGTGACTGTCGCTTCCTGGTCTTGCCACAGCCCGATGGGCGCTGGGTGCTGCAGTCAGAGCCACACGGCCGCTTCTTTGGTGGCACCGAGGACCAACTGTCCTGCTTTGCTACAGCTATTTCCCCTGCAGAGCTGTGGACTGTGCACCTGGCCATCCACCCACAGGCTCATTTGCTGAGCGTGAGCCGTCGGCGCTACGTGCACCTGTGCCTGCAGGAGGACGAGATGGCAGCAGACAGTGACATGCCTTGGGGTGTGGATGCATTGCTCACTCTCATTTTCCAGAGCAGGCGGGTACTGCCTCAAGTCTTATGACAGCCGCTACCTGCGCAGTGACGGCCACCTTGTCTGGGAGCCTGAAGCCCGTGCCTGCTACACCCTAGAGTTTAAGGCAGGCAAGCTGGCCTTCAAGGACTGCGACGGCCGTTACCTGGCACCCATGGGGCCTGCCGGCACACTCAAGGCTGGTCGAAATACGAGGCCCGGCAAGGATGAACTCTTTGACCTGGAGCAAAGTCACCCACAGGTGGTACTGGTGGCTGCCAACCACCGCTATGTCTCTGTGAGGCAAGGTAGGGTGTGTGTGTGTGTGCAGCTAACATTGTGTTGTGTGTGCTACATGTGCCGGGTTGGGTGTGTATCCACTGGAGATGGGTATTTCTGCATACGGTATAAGCCTGTGGGCCTACTGAGTCCTGGTGGGTTCAGAGGAGTGCTCATCACTGTAGACATCTAGAGAATATCAGCTGAATTTGGTGACTGCTGGACTGCAGCTCTCTAAGACTGGAGGGTGAGGCAATGGCAGAGTCTGAGGGCAGCGGGAGGGTGGGAAGCAGACTGGAGAGGTCCTGCACTTTCTTGCTCTTCTGCCACCCCACTTTCTGGTCTTTGGGGGAGACAAGGGAGAGAGCAGGGCAGGGCAAGGACACCACTTTCATATGCTTGACCATGGGAACCTTGTGGGGGGCCCAAGAATGGGAGACTTCATTGTTACCTTCAGTGTTAGCAGATACAAGCCAAGGCCACCTTGCCCAGGACCTGTGCTTCTAGGGGAAAGGCGCCATTTCCACCTGTGGGTGTGGCTTGGCTCTTCACTTCCTGGCCACTGATCACTTGTGTGACACCTGAGTAGTTTGGGGTAAACATAGTGTTCCTACTGCCCCATGAGGAAGCCAAAAGTCTTAGTGGCCCTAGGCTACTGGCGTAACCCTGGCCTAGGCTAGAAGGTAGAGTTGTTTCCATCTTGGGTTCTGGGCTCATGCACCCCCAGGGTGCCTAGACATACCCTGACCTGGGTTCTCTGGGCTCAAATGAAGACGTGAGGCAGGCCCTTCCTACTCATGTAGACCCCTTTCATGCCAGCACTTACCAGAGAAAGGGCAGTTCCCATGAGCCTCTTGTACCACTGCCCACTGCAGCAATCCAGTCTCTGGGCATCTTTGGGTCCTTTCCAGATGGTCAGGGACACCCACGTGAGAGGCCAGCCTGCCCAGGACCTACAGCTGCAGTCGTGGCCTTTAGGCTGGTCTGAAGCAACAACAGGCATTGGAGTCACCAGCACGTGTCCTTTCCCATCACCACCCCAGCAGTCCTACCGCACCACCTGGCCTGGAGAAGGCTCAGATTGTCCACAGTCCTTAAACTAAGCAAGATAGCTGGGACAGTGGTAGTGGAGTGCTTCCTGGAGGAGGAGGTGATGGTAGACAGAGTGTGCGAATAGCCTGTAAAAGAGACCCAGGAAGGAGGCACCAACAGTAGTGTCATACTATGGCCATGCTATGGGGCATTGGTAGTGATGTTCGTGAGATGATAGAGGGGTGAACGTGGTAGAGATGGTAAAGATGGTGATGGAGGGGTGGGAGTGGTGGAGGGCTGGAGATGTTAATAAAGGGATGGTGGTGTAAGGGAGTTGGTGGAGGTTGTGGTGGGCTGGGGAGATAACTCTGGTGAGCACTTGCCTAGTGTGTACAACACCCTGAGTCCCATCCCCAGCACCGAAGAAAAAGATGGTGGATCTGGTAGTCATGGCACTGGGTAGTGTCTGTGGGGATTACTTTTCAGCCTTTTAAAAAAAAATATGTGTATATGTGTGTGTGTGTGTGTGTGTGTGTGTGTGTGTGTGTGTGTGTGTGGGGAAGGGTATGTGCAAGTGAGTGCAGGTGCCTGCAGAAGCCAGAAGAGGGTGTTACATCATCTAGAGCTCTAGTTATAGGTGGCTGTAGACCATTTGATAAGGGTGCTGAGGACAGGACTCAGGTCCTCTGCAAGAATATAAGTGTTCTTAAGCCCTGAGCCATCTCTCCAGCCCACTTTTTCGTCTTTTAATTTTTATTATTATTAGCTGGGTGTGGTAGTGCACGCCTTTAATCCCAGCACTTTCAAGGCAGAGGCAGGTGGATCTCTGAGTTTGAGGCTAGTCTGTTCTACGCAGTGAGTTCCAGGACAGCCAGAGCTATATAGTGAGACCCTGTCTTGAAAAAATATTGTGTGTGTGTGTATGTGTGTGTGTGTGTGGGGGCACATACATGTCAAGCATGACACACTTATAGAGGTCAAAGGACAACTTCGTGGGATCATTTTTCTCCTCCCACCTTTACATGGATTCCAGGGATCGATCTCAGATTCTCAGGCTTTCACAGAAAGCACCTGAACTTGCTAAGACATCTCACTGACTTCTTTTCAGCCTCTTGATCACCCTGTATGTGATTCCATCCCCTTGGTAGGGGGTCTCCTACTAAGGACTTGGAAGGAGAGGCACCAAGTGCTCATCTCTGCTTCTCTGGGCTGGTGATGCTTGGCAGCTGTCCCAGCCTTGGGACTGGTGTTGGGGAGAAGGCAGGTCTTTGTGTGTCGGGGTGGAAGTGATATTAGGTTCAAGGCAGTCCGAGAGGTAGATTTGGGCTTGTTTGTCCTGGCCAGCATAGCATCTATGGAGTAGCAGCCCAGCTTGACCTGGTCACCTGGAGAGACAGCCCCAAACTTGTCTTCTAGTCAGGAGCTGCTTATGAGCCACCAATTTACAGTTTGTCCCACTGGACTTCTTTGCTGTCCCTCCACAGCATGCCAGGTGGTGTCTGCCCTCACTGGCACTGCAGGGCTCACGGGCAGCGCAGCTATGAGCATTTGTTTCTGCCAGAAACAGACTGACTCAACTATTCCCTGAATTCTAGCAGACATACCTCATACTCATTATCCAGAACCAACCCCTCAAGAGAGGTAAAGTCATCACTGTCCAGATCATTCTGGATTCTGTGCCCCTCCCACTGCCAGTCAGTTCCCTAAGCAGGTGAATATGGGGAGGAAGATGCTTGGTAGCATTCTGTCTGCAGAGGCAGGTGGGGTGATGTGGGCACAGAGCACCTTGGCCTGCAAGATGGTATGTGGCATTGGCTGAAGTCAATGGATGGTGCTGGTTGGCATGCCCCGCTCACGTCCTTTGACCTGGTTCTGCCCGCTGAAAGCCCACTCTTCTTGCCGCCTGTAGCATTCATCCATGTGAGACACATCACCAGGACTTTCCCGTTGACTTCTGCTCACCACGAGGCTTGGTGCATGAGACTGAGGACTCTCCTTGGTTCCAGCCATCCAGTTTAGTATTTGTTGCTAGAATGATGAAGCTGGCAGGGGTGGAGACAGTAAAAAAAAAAAAAGACTGGGGTCTCTGTGGGCCCAGGGCTGGAGAGATGGCTCAGCCGTTAAGAGCACTGGCTGCTCTTCCAGAGGACCCAGGTTCAATTCCCAGCACCCACATGATGGCTCACAGCTGTCTGTAACTCCAGTGCCAGGGGACCTGACGCCCTCGCCTGGCTTCTGAGTGTACTGCACACAAGTGGTACAGACACACACACACACGCAAAACACTCACACATTAAAAAAACAACCAACTCAAGAAACAAACTGTTAGACCCTTTCCTGGGATATGCTAGCTGCTCTTCTGCATGGAAGCAGTGACCCCCAGTGTGAGGGTGCCTGGGCATAGCCTTTGGGAGCTAGAGAACGGCAGTGGATTTCACCCTCTCCACTAGTGACTGCCGTTTGGTTGGTCCTCTCTTCTCCTTCAGGGTTGGATCAGATGTGGTCCCTCCTTCGGGCTTTTCCCCTCTCACCTCATTAGTTACACCTTGAGCCCCTGGGGCTCACGGAGGTTCTACCCGCCACACTTGTCAGAGTAACCAGTTGCCAGGAAACTGATGGGTTTGTGGGAGGGGGCCAGGGCTTATAGGACAATCCTGAGGAGGCTTCAGTGCCTGCATGCTGCACCAGGACATGGAACACAAACACTGGTCGGGTCCTGGGCAGCCTGCCTTCCCCTAGGGCTCCAGGACACCCAGTACATGTGTGGGAGGTAGGCTGGTTCCTAGTCCCTGGCTAGGATCTAGGTCACCTTAGGGGGAAGGTCAGAGACCCCCCAGCAGCTTAAGGATGAATTATAAATAGAAGCTGCTGTAAATCCTGGGTCAAGAGAGCAGGAACAAGCAGATTACTTGCTGATTAGCAGAATGGGGATTAGCAGCATGAAAGGTACTATCTTAGGGATCGAGGGAAGAGCTGGGTATGTGTGGGGCACACTGGTATCTGCATGGTCCTGGGCAGAGTTCCCTTGCCTCTGACAGATGGCTTCCAAATCCCAAGGTGAGAGCTCTAGCTGAGACTCTGTCTTCATGGTATCCCAAAGCATGCTTCCCCCTCTATGCCTCCCAGGAGCTTTGAGGGGCTTCACTGTCTTCTCCCTCCAGGAATCAATGTCTCAGCCAATCAGGATGAAGAACTGGACCACGAAACCTTCCTGATGCAAATTGACCAGGAGACAAAGAAGTGTACTTTCTATTCCAGCAATGGTGGCTACTGGACCCTGGTCACTCATGGGGGCATTCAGGCCACGGCCACACAAGTGTGAGTGCACCTGTCCCTGTCTCCATCACCATCACTTACAAACATGACCATCACTATCGCCCCCAATACACCTTTCTTGTTTTGTTTTGTTTGTGAGACAGGACTCACTGTGTAGCCTTGGAACTCACTATTATAGACCAAGGTGGCCTCCAACCCACAGATGTGCCTCTGCCTCCTGAGTACTGGGATTGGAGGCATGTACACCACCACACCCAGTGACCACAATCACTTCTGTCATCACCTCCACAACCATCATCTCCACCAGCATCTGAGCACAGCTTATCTATGAGGACAGCAGCCTAGACAGCAGATGTTCACTGGGGTGGGGAGTAGCTCCCACCAGCCATGGATATTTCTGCAGAGGGCAGGCTTCTTTCTCATCCCTGGAACCCAAGGATAGGGAGACCAAACTGCGCCTCTCTCTCTGAGATCTTGTCTGTGTCTCCCCCACCCCCAGTTCTGCCAACACCATGTTTGAAATGGAATGGCGTGGCCGGCGGGTGGCACTTAAAGCCAGCAACGGGCGTTACGTGTGCATGAAGAAAAACGGGCAGCTGGCCGCCATCAGTGACTTTGTGGGTGAGCACCCCTGCCTTCTGTAAGTTGGGGCAGCTTTCCACCCCTCGTCAGTGCATCTAAGCCCTGCCCCCCCCCCCCCCCCCACTTCATTCATCAGGGAAGAAGTCAGATCCAGGGTCTTTTCCTTTACTGTCTTTGGGGAACCCTGGGTACTCCCTTAACCCCTGTACATTAGGAACGTCTAGGTTCTGTCACATTAGGTTCCTTGCCACAGGAGCACACTAGGCAGTGGCACACCTGGACCCCCAAGTCCACGGCCTGCACAGGACAGGTAGGGGCAGGAGCAGTACACAGCGTCCTCTCCCTTAGGCGAAGACGAATTGTTCATCCTTAAACTCATCAACCGACCCATCCTGGTGCTGCGTGGTCTGGACGGTTTTGTTTGCCACCGCCGAGGATCCAACCAGCTGGACACCAACCGCTCCACCTATGATGTCTTCCACCTGAGCTTCAGGGATGGCGCCTATCAGATCAGAGGTGCGGGAACAAAGGATGCAGGGAGGCAATGGGAGGCATGGGGTCCAAGGGCCCTGCCGACCTCCAGCCTTGCCCCCAGGCCGCGGAGCTGGGTTCTGGTACATCGGCAGCCACGGAAGCGTGTGCAGCGACGGTGACTTGGCGGAAGATTTCCTCTTCGAGTTCCGAGAGCGTGGCCGCTTGGCTATCCGTGCCCTCAGTGGCAAGTACCTGCGTGGCGGCGCCTCAGGGCTGTTGCGTGCTGATGCAGACCTGCCTTTGGGGGAAGCTCTCTGGGAATATTGAGGACTCACAGGGGTTGACCCCAGCGCCCCACCGATCCAGCATTAAACCTTTGTTGCGCAGCTGCTGTGGGCTTGCACCACCCAGCTTGGGAATGGGAAGGGTGTGCGCCTGGAGTCCTGGTCTGCTGCTCAGCACTAGAGCCCCACCCTTAGGAGCCTTCACCCTTTTGTGCAAGGATCTCCCCACCTTCCAGCAACCTTAGGGCAGGGCCATGGCTGGAAGTGGGGCTGCCTCTGTCCCCTCACCCCACCTTGCTCCAGCAGTTGCTAGGCTTTGGGTCAGAGATTGAGGAAGGCCATCCTAACGTAGGCTGACCTGACCCGACTTGGGGCCCTGAAGTCCTCTCCAACTACCCAGGGCGAATGAGACCCACGGAGAGTTCCAAGTCTAAGACAAGAAGTCACTCAGCCAGAGCATGTGTGGGGGTGGGGAGGCAATGTATAGCTGGCAGGAAAGGCAGGAAGCATGCTGGGAAGGAAGTTATGGCTGGATACCCACCCCCACCCTTAGGAATAAGAAAGGGACTGTCCTTGGCTTACTCAAGAGCTACAAGGGTCACACATCAGGGCATCCCTATTAACTCTCGGAGCTGACCTTAGCAGCCTGAGTGGGCTAGGTCTCAGACGCTGGTGGGGCCTCGGCCCTGCAGTGTCACGGAGGTCAGGTGTTACCTGGCATGTGTGGGGGACATCACACGGGTGTGGACAAGACTGGGGGACCCTGCTGGAATAATGGTGGCTCTTACTCCATGATGACAGCTCAAATGAGACTCTCCAGCTAAGACCGGTGCTGGGCCTACTAATTCTGCCAGTGCCAAGGTTAACAAGGCAAAGCCCTGGTGCCCCATCCCCCAGGACCTGCTGGAGTTTAGGCTAAGGACAGACCTTGCCATTTCTGAGGACTATAATGGCAAGTAGGGGACACTAGAAAATGTCAGCTCTGACAGAGACAGAAGCCAGTTCAGACCTCTCTCTGCTCCAAGGCAGGCCTGCTGTCCTGTGGGCTGACCCAGCCTCACTAACTTGTTCAGAGCAGACGTCAGGCACACTACATGATGTAGCTAGAGGCTCCCACTGGAAGGTGGCAAGGGTGGCTTTGGGGACAAGCTGTGGACAGGGTTCTTAGCAGGCCAGCAGGCAAGGTAAGCCGGCAACCCTGACACTGAGCACCTTGTTACAAAAGCCAGGCTTGTACAGACTGCAGGTGTGTCCAGAGAGGCCATTCCATTTCCTAACGGCCTCCATGGAGGACTCTGTCCAGTAGGACGGACAAACGCCTATGCAAATACCCTGTGAGGTGAGGGTGGCAGGAGCCCAGTCTGTCCAGACCTTGAGGGGCAGATCTCTGGCCCCAAATGGCCACAGGAGCCCTGGTGGAGGGTAACTGGGCACCGTGAGGAAGCTGGGACGGACCTACCCACCCAGTTGCACAGAGCAGAGCAGGTTGTGAAGAGGGTGTGAGGAAAGAAGTAAACATCATCTGACACCTGTCATGGAAAGAGCAGCTTGTCGGCACAGCACCTCACAGACAGCACTCAACAGGAGCAGGCACAAGGCCCTGCAGACATGCTCTCCTCCCATGGTGAAAACAGCACCAGCAGCAGCAGGGCACTGCCCAGCCGAGGAGGCGGCTGGGACACCGGCTGGAGGCGGCTTGGGCCGTTGGCATCTATAGGAGCCCTCCCATGGTCTTTGTGCTTTGGTTGAGGGTGAGCACTCTGCCACCTGGTGGCTCCAGAGAGGCAGTCAGTGCTCCTGAGATGTGGTGGGGTCAGCAGCAGAGCAGTCCTAAACCCACAAGTCTGAGCCCCAGAAACCCTGTGTCTCCATGGCCCGAGTACTTGGGCAACGATCCTTCCCATCAGGGGTGCAGAGGTTCCAGTGGAGGGGTGCTGCCAGGCCAGTCCCAGACCCAGCCTGAGGTGTGTCCTGCCGTGGCGAGAAGCTGGCCAGCAGCTGTCGGGAAGGAAGAAGGCGTGAGAGGAAGGCAGCAAAGGCCAGTGGGTTCAGATGCCGCCTGAATCCACCTCACACCCACTTCTTAGCTCTCCTGGCTGCCTAGCCAGGAGGTACAGCTGCCTAAGCCAGAGAGCCAACGTGTATCCTTTTCCATTTGGGTAGAACCAGAGGTCAGCACACTGGACAAAGTGGGACAGAGGACCAGGACCCACCTAGTCACAACAGGACAAGGCTAGGGTTGCGTAGCTGCTTGTAAACCTGCAGGAGCTTCTGGGCTGTGGAGTAGGAGCTGACTTCATCCTCCGTACACAACTGGTCCCTCAGTGTCTGCACCTCCCGGAGCAGTTCCTGTGGGCAGGCAGCACAGCTCAGCCTGTGCCTTCACCTAGGAAGGTCTTGTACTTGGGAGGTAGTGGGTGGTCCAGAAAAGAGCACTGGGTCACAGGGCCTTAAATATGTGACATACAACCACGTGGATATAGGCAGGCAAACAGGAAATGGACATGACCCCCCCACATCTTGATCTCATCCAGAGAACCCAGCCCACACTGAAAACTGGGCAGCCTCACATGGCTGGTGCCCTCTGAGTACTGTCTTTCCTACATGCCATCTGGGGACATTCCTCATACCCAGGAACTGGGGCTCACCTGGTGGTTGGCATGGATCTGGTGTAGATACTGTATTCGGAGGTCAGGTGGGCTGGAGCCTTGGGCAGCTTGCTCTGTGACCATAGTCTGGGGAACAGAAGGGTTGCTGGGTGGGTACTGGAGAGTGCTTCCCAGAGTGAATGCCTCAGTCAGAGGCCAGGGTCTTCACGTCCCTCAGATCATAGTGACCACTTCTTATGTCTCCCCAAACACTATCTCCTGTGGAGAGCCCACTCATTCACCCAGCAGTGTTTCCCACCATGTTCCCCAGGCCTTTCCTCCTCGGAGACACAGGAGCTCCCACCCACAGTAATTAAGAAAGACGTTTCTGGAGTTTAAGTCAGGGCCTTCAATAACCCAGGGTAGCCTCAAACTTGCTATGTAGCTCAGGCTGGGCTTGAATTCCTGATCTTCCTGCCATAACCTACCAACTGTTAGGATTTTGGAATGTACCACTAGGCCTGACCAAAGACCCCTTTTTTGTTTGTTTGGTTGTTCAAGACATGGTTTCTCTGTGTAGTTTTGGTGCCTGTCCTGGATCTCGCTCTGTAGACCAGGCTGGCCTTGAACTTACAGAGATCTGTCTGGCTCTGCCTCCCTGGTGCTGGGATTAAAGGTGTGCACCACCACCCGGCCTTTTTTTTTTTTTTTTTTTTTTTTTTTTTTTTTTTGTGAGACAGGGTTTCTTTGTGTAGCCCTGGCTGTCCTGGAACTTGCTTTGGAGACCAGGCTGGCCTCGAACTCATAGAGATCTGTCTGCCTTTATCTCCCAAGTGCTGGGATTAAAGGCGTATGCCACAACATCCAGCTTAAAGCGCCTTTTTAAACCCTTTTAAACCTAAACCCAAATCTTGACTCTGTGACTCAAACTTTGGGCTGGGCCTTAGGCAGGAGCCCCATCTGATATATTTGCTCATTCCCTCTGCAGGCTCACTCAGGGCTGGGCATTCATTCTTGCTTTCTGAAGGCAGTCTAGCTTGCTAAAGGACCTTTTTAGGTATGTCAAAGCCTCGGAGCAGACCTGCCTAGGCTGAATATCCACCCCAGGGTCCTGGACAGTGTTACCTTTGGGGAAGCAACATCTGGGCAAGGTCCCAGTGGCTGTGGGAGATTCCTGTCTATAGACCATGGAGGTGCTTGCCTGAAGTTGCCCTGCTGAATGCTACCTAGGGGGCAGTTGCACAATGTGATTCTCTATCAAGGATCAACTGTGTCCCCTTGAAATCACACACCAAGTCCTAACTCTAGTTCCTCTGAAGGCAGCTTTTTATTGAAATGGGGTCTTTGCAGATGACCAAGATAAAAACCACTGGGGTGGCCTTAATCCTATGTGACTGTGTCCTTATAATGGGAAATTTGGGCAAAAGGTAACAGAAGTTCTTGGAGACTGGTGGCGCCACTGCTTTGGGGGGGACTACCCTGCTAGTAATCCACCGCATGGGGACTGAACTCCCAAACACACAAAGCCCACAGCTGTGTTACAGCCTGCTACTGTTACGCCACTCATTTTGCAGGTGAACTTCACAAATGGCTCAGGACAGGGGAGTCATGTGGTAGGGCTGACCTTCCAGCTCTGCAGGCAGCGAGCACCTCCACCTGTCCCTTCATCACAGAGCATCTGCCAGCTCTAAGGCCTGATTCTCAGGAGAAGCAACACCAGAGCACACAGGGACAAGTTCCGAGGTCAGGTTGGTGGCTACAGTCAAGAACTAACTGCAGACCTGCCTGGGAGCCACTGTGGACCCTGACTTGAGTGAGGATGGGCCACACCAGTCTCACATGGGTGATGGCACTCTGGACAGAGCCATGCTAACTGGCACAAGGGGAGTCTCTGTGCTGACGTGGCTTCTTCTGCACTGATGAACTGCCCTGGGCTGATCCATCTACTCATAGCACAGACACTTGGCCTGGAATCCACACGAGGGGCTTAGCCCCAGATAGGACAATAATGACTAGAAATTTATCAGACATATAGACTCGGCCATTTCTGAACTTGGGGGTGACACGTGCTGACAGCACACCTGGAGGGCTCACACACGCACCGAGATGCCCACAGCTGTGTGGGTCCATAGAAGAAACCTAGATACAGCTAGTGCCTTCAGAGCCTCCTTTCCCAACCTCCCACCCTGCTGGCTGTGGTACCTGTATTCGTCTGATGATGGCATGGTGCGCCCTGCACATGTTGGCCAGAGAGGAGCTCTCCACTTGGATCTCCACAGCCTGGATGGGCCCTGCGGGGCTCAAATCAGTCACAGCTACCTGTAACATATGAGGCTCTGAGTAGCTGCAACACAGCCCGGCCTGTTCTTCACATTTTAAAGGCGGGCAGGCTGGAGAACCACGGTAAGAAACCTATTTGCAATGGACAGCCATATCAGGGCGACTCAGAATCCAATCCTGTAGGAACCACCTCACTCTGGGCTGCACCCAGACCCAAGCTAAACTTGGCTCTAGGTCAGGAATGGAATGAAGGCCTAACACAGGGAGTTGAAGTGCCTGTTTGTGGATATCTCAGCACCCTCCAGGAGGTCTGACTGCGCTAACTAGACAGGCTGAGGGCTGGGTAGCCCTGTCTTGCTCTTTACACAGTGGCATAAGACCCAGAGCCTAGGGACTGTAGAAAGGCCTTGACCACCAATGGTTTCTCCATGCAAGCACAGACTCTGTCCACTGACCAGGACCACTGCTAGTTCTTAGCCTTGGCCAGGGATCATCTGGCTTAGATGTTGGTCACAACATGGCTTGAAAGGGCAGTGCAGTGAGGGATTGGAGTACATGGCCTGAGCTCTGGGAGTAGAGGTCCATAGTCCTTGGCAGACAGGGCTTCCTCTCCAAGAGTCTCTGACAGTAAGATGCAAAGGTCTATTGCAGGGGATCCTGGATGTAGGAGGACCCCAAAAAGAGGCTGTACGAGAGGGAAAGGCCAGAGCGGGTGGGATGTCTCACTTGAGGCTCCCCAAAGGGGCCCACTGCCCTTTGGTGGTCCAATAGGTTAGCTGATACTGGCTTGGGTTGGTTGACCACCAATACTGTATTTATCGTCCACTGTGACCCCAGCAGTGCACGTGATGGATCAGACAGGGCTGGTCCTCCCAGTGGCCCAGACTGACAGCCCAGTTAAAGTAATTCTCCATAAGCAATGGCCCAAGGACCCACTGAGGATTGTGGGCCCTGAGTCCCATCCCACGAACATGCAAGCGGCCCCTGCTTGCCTCATGGACGATGAGGTTGACATCGGTACCATCTGGGGCTATTCCCTGGATGGAAGACAGTGTCTGGGCCCTCACAACATCCACAGCAGCGTTCTCGGCAAGGAGCCACTGCAGGGTGGCACTGCACAGGTGGAAACCTGGAAGAGAGAGGTGCCTGCTGGAGTGTAGGCAGGTCATACTAAATGGCACCTGTGTGGCTTCCCTCAAATGTTCCTTTTCCAATGCCACCTATGTGTCCCAAATGCCCACAGTCTTACCACAAGTAGGGAGCTAAGATAGGAAGGAATAGGGGTCATCAGGAAATCATGGACCCAGAGCTAGAATCTTACTGGGGAGGTCCTCCAAGGCACAGGGTACAGTCCTAACTGCACTGTGGTGCCGACAGAAATGCTGTGCAGGATGGCTTCAGCCCTCCCCAGGACAGACTGAAACCAGATATACAACCCAACATCCACTGGGAGCAGGAGAGAGGAACCAGCAACCAGGACACTTCTGCCACACATCCGGTGCCAAACAATACAAACAGTTCAACACACTGTGGGAGCAAAAGCCAGGCCCAGTGCTGTGACAGACCTCAGACAGACCAGCTTCTGGTCTGGAGACACCGTGCCTGATGTGAGAACTTACCAGGCCACTCTTCACTGACACCTGTCTCTGCTTAGCTTGTGCCTCCTCACAGTTTTTAAGAAACACACAAAGGACATGACAGGGCAGCATGACACAAGACTCCGACAGCAATCAGGATGCAGTGAACTCGTAAGAGCCACAGGGAGAGAGGGGAACATCCTATTTTCACAGGCGACAGGGCCCTGAGGCCAAAGTGAAGCCAGTAGTGCCACCAACCTGAGTGACCACCCTCCAGGGCAGTCCTGAGGAGCGCCGCTGACACCCTGATGGATGCTGTAGATGGAGGCAAGTACTTGGCCCGCAGGGAGGCAGCTCCAGTTGGCTCACTGCCAGGGGCTTGGCAGGTCTTCAGGAAGGTTTCCACAGGCTCACAGGCAGGGCCAGGCACGCAGGGCGCCTGTGCAGGTTGTGAGGCCACACCAGGGAAGCGCAGACACTGCAGCATGTCCACTGTGCGCTTGCACAGGGGCAGGCAGACACCCTCTTGCTTAGGAAGGTTGAGAGGAAGCTTCTCCAGATAGGGGACCTCTAGAGGATCTGAAGGGGCCAGGGCCCCACCCACCACCTCCCTGAGGCTGTAGAAGAGCCAGCAGGACATGGTCACTGGCAGGTCAAGCATGCCACTCTCACTAGGGCCCAGGGGCAATGTCACTTCCCGCCGACTTCCTGGGCCAAGTCTGTCCACTGGAATGGTGTAGGTAAAAGTTGAACCAGCCCCATCCAGGTCTAAGGCAGAGGAACTAGTAAGCACCTGAATACACAAGGTCCAGCCCTGGTCCAGGCTGAAGCTGCTACTGTTTTCTAGTGTGCAGGTGGCCATCAGCATGTCTCGCAACTCCAGGCGGCTCCAGGAGAGAGTGATGGTACATGAGATGGGCCGAACACCCTCCTGGCTGGACAGCAGGGCACAGCTCACGTTCATGGCCTCGTTGAGACTTGTTATGGCCTTGTTGCGCTGGTCAACAGCTTTCTTCAGAAAGGACACTCTGCAAGGAACAGACACAACACCCAGGACAATGAGGTCACAGCAGAGGGAGCCACATCTGTACACCAGCTCTCAGAGGATGCCGGGGAAACCCTTCAGAAGCCACATTCAGTTGCTTGACCTGATCTTTATTCTTGGCTTTGGAAGGCAAGAAAGGGTGGAGACGCTGAACTGGCCTATGCCTGCCAGGGATGAAGTGCCCCACAAATCACCCCACAAGCTCCCAAATGGCCCCCTTTCTCCTTTGCAACACTCCACAGTAACAGTGGGTGGTAGACCTATGGGAATATCCCCAAGTCACAAGGCCATAAAGCCCATAGACAAGCAGCTCTAGGTCCAAAGTCATGAGGAGCAAGAGGAACTAGCACTGGTCGTGGCTGAGGGGAAAGTTTGGGTGTTGGAAACTTGGCTGAGAGCAGAAACACATTGGCCGTAAGGAGCATCCACAGAAACAGGCATCGGATTGGTGCTAGCAGGCTCCTGTATCCTGTCAGAGGGAAGGTGAAGGACTGAGAAGAAAGGGGTCTCTTGTCTTCTGAGGGCTTGAGTGCAGACTCTTTGGCCCCTGATGGAGATAGCCACACACATGGTTGTTAGGCAGAACCTCCCTAGCCTGAGTCAGCTCCACCCAGGATGCTGGCCCCCAAGAACAAGATACAAGCTCTTCATGAGCCAGAGCCTGAAGCTCACCTCTCAGACACATCACCGATGTCCAAGAGCAGCTCCTTAATTTTCTGGCCTGCATTTGCCATAGCCATTTTGGCAGGCACACGCACCTCAGAGTTCAAGTCCAGGCTGCAGGTGATCAGGCGTCCTTTGGAAGACAGGGCCAGGAGCTCGGTGCTACCTGATGATGAACACATGCAGGGCCAGTCAGCAGTGTCTGCTCTGGACTCCAGGAAAAGGGTTGGCAAAGGGTCAAGGCAGAGTCCAAGGAAGGAAATGAGGTGCTTGTGGGGAGACCAGGGAAGCCCACACCAAGGGGCTGGACAGAGAAGGTGACCATTGGTTTCTATACTCATTTTGGATTGCCTACACGAGATAGTGTCAGCCCAGATGTGATGCCATGGTAGTGACTGATCCACATAGACAGGACAAAAAGGGGCCAAAGGAGGACACTGTATGGCATCCAATCATTCAACAGTGTCTCAGTCTTCAATAGGCCACACAGAGCAAAGCTGCTGAGCCTTCCAAAGAGAAGTGCCCTTGGAGGCCGAGCTCTGCTCACCTCATCCTCACTGGGCACATCTCACCACATCCTGCCCTCTTCTTGTCACTGAGGGGACAGAGGCTGTCCCTGCCAAAGGGTGCTTGCTTCCTGACTCCCAACAGAGCTCTTACCATGAACCCTGAAGTGGGTAGTTTAGTAGCTGGAAATAAGTTCATTGGTGCCCTGGTCTCCAGCCACACCTATCCCTGCCCTGACCCTGTGGTAGTTTGGCTCTTCCAAGTGTTTTTCTCCTGATAAGCGGTTTTCTGCAGATTTAACCTATTCATAGTGGATCTTTATGGGAAAGCACTGGGGAGAGAGGAGTGTCTTCCTCTCAACCCAGAGCCTGGCAAACTCAGCTAAAGCTGTCTTAGAGAACTGAGACACCCTCTGAATGGCTCATAAACAGGTCATACAGCAGTGAAAGCAGGCTCATCCAGCCTCAGAGGACATAGGGAGGCTTGGCCTGACCTGATTTGAGACCTGCTGTGGGGGTATGCTCTTACACCAACCTCATAAGCCACATGTTGTGAGCTGGCACTCAACTGAAGAGCCAGGGCACACCCAGGTAGAGCAGCACACTGCCCAATCCCAGGCAGGACACACATACAGAGGTACCTAACCCCAAGACAGGAGTGAGTGAACCACTGGTCTGTGACAGGCCTGGCAAGAAAGCCTGTACCTGCCACCTCTGCAAAGGTCTCACCAAAGAAAAAAGCAAGGAGCAAGGACAGCTCAGGGGAAAGACTGTCCTAAGGCATGGTCCTATGCAACGGCAGCTCATACCTGTAGATGCCCTGGATGATACGTAGAGAGTGACGGCGCTGCAGATGTTCAAGCTGGCTGGGCACAGGGTGGAGGGCAGACCTCCTACGGCCCCGTCTGGCTTCTCAGGGTTCCAAGGAGCATCTCTCCGAGTCAAGTCTACCACACAGAGGTTTGAGGGGGTGCTGTGGTACATGTGGCCATCCCTGCCACAGGCGGCACAGAGCACAGGCCCGGGGAGGCAGTACTCACGAAGCTCTGGCACCAGATTCCCTGACTCACTCCAGCTGGCCTTGATGGCCAGTGTCCGGCCTTGGTGGCCAAGGGCTACCAGGCAGTCAGAGTGCACATTCTCCTCAAGCAGCAGCTCCCTTGCCTCTTCCTCAGCATGTGGCTCTGCCCTCAGAGCCCCAATGAAGACCACAGGTTCCTCCAGGTGATGGAGGATCTTGACCAGGACCTTTGGGTCACTGGGGGCTAACCCACAAGGGACTAAGGTCTTCAGAACCACACAACAAAGCTGGCCATCAGGAAGACCGCAGAGGATCACAGGGGACTGCAGGAGGCTGGCATCAGCTCCAAAGAGTAGGCCAAAGAGAGCCTCCTCTAGCACAAAGCAGCCACAGCCCTGCGGGTGGCCGTGAGGTGCCCTGGAGCCTGGCGGGAACACACAGCACAGCACCGGCAGGAAGCAGGGTGCTGCAGGCTTTCCCGGCACCCCACCTGGAGGGGTGCAGGTAGACAACTCCACCTCACCAACCTGGCCTCCAGGCTGAGGCTCCTCCCCTGGACAGGGACGCTCAAAGAGCTGCATCTTCCACTGGGTGGGGCCCTGTACCAGGGTGACCAGCATGTCATCCAGCACAGTGAAGGCACAGAGAGCCGCATCAGGGAGGACACAGGCATCTGGGTCCACATGGGTCACAGGGCAAGGGTGAGCCTCATCCTCTTTGTCCTCACAGGCCTGGATCACAGACCTTCAGGAACAATGGAACAGAAGTCAGTACTGGATGGGGTGGCGTCACGTTATGTTCAACAATAACCTGACTTGCTCTGAGCAGGCTAGGCAGAAGACATCACAGCAAGTGCCTGAAAGTGTTCCCATGGCATCCACAGGCTACTCAGCAGGTCACATACGCCACCTGACACACGGATCAGCCAGAAGCATAGCTCCACAGACAATGCTCATCGGTGTGAGAATGATCCCGTGTTGCATCTGGGCTGTGTCTGTTGAGTTTTCCCAGCACAAGCCACTGGCCAACAAGCCTTTGCTGTTACTACCAACAGGAGACACCTCTTTCTGAGACCCACTTCTAAGTGGTCTTGCCAGACACCTGAGGGCAATAGCAGTTGTGCTCCTGGCTGCAGACTTCACTACCTGAGCCTCAACAGCTAAGAACTTCATGGAAGCAGACACTCTAGGGTCACAACTGTTGGGGGCAAGAGGTTCCAAGTGCACATACAGATGGCCTAAACCGCAGTCCCCTGCCTCCTGCATGTTGTCAGTGGCCGGTCAGTACGGACAGGGGCAAACCGGGCACTGCTCAAAGGAGGATACGACAGCAGGTCTACCACGTGCAGGCCTCCCTAGGGACCCGACTTGTGAACTGGCCTGAGCCGCGTGGGGCCACGCCCCCTCACCTGTTCTGGGAGTCCAACGACAGACAGTAGATGCCAGTCCGTGCACACAGGACGTAGAGTGCCCTGCGGATGGCCAGGAGCTGCAGGTGCCACACCTGGTCGGGAAACTGGTACACCGCCTGGGCGCCAGGAGAGCGAGGTCAGGCGAGGGCACACGCGGCCCCGGCTCACCTCGGAACGGCGCCGCCCGCCCGCCCACCGCTCACCGTCAGCATCCCTCCCTCCTGGTCGTACACATAGACGAACTCGCGCCCTGTGGACAGAAAGATCTCCGCCTCATGACGCAGCACTCGCGGCTGGCCCCCCGCCCGGCCCCCGAGCGGGCAGCCGAAGTCGGACAGGTAGTGCACGCGCGAGGAAGCGCCCGCCATGGTGCGGGCGCCGGGCCAGGGCTCAGCCTCGAGAGGCGGTGCCGCCTCCAGGCTTTACGGCCGCCTACAGCGTGGCACGGCCTCCGCCGTAAAGCGGCCGCTGCGGAGGCGGGGTTGGGGCCTGTGCAGGGGCGGGGACGGCGGTCCGACGGTCCTGTAGCCGGCGGGAACGCCCCGTCACAGCGGGCGCGCAGACACCGTGGCTTAGCAGAGCCACGATTTAGAGCGAAACGCAGGAAGGCCGAGGGCCGCCGGAAAACCGGAAGCGGTTTTTCAAGTCCACTCCGGCCCAGGTAGGGGTCCTTGCCTCAGACCTCCTACCTGGCGTGCAGAGGTTGCTCTAGTACAAGGCTGCGTGCCACACCCGGTTTTGTGTCAGCACTGGGGAGGGTGTCACCAACATAGCACAGGCTCTTTGGAGTTGGGTGGCTCAGTATACTGTGCAGTCCCTTGATCAGGGAAAATAGGGCTTCAGGCCAGCCAGCCAGAACAGCCTTTCCTCCATGCACGAACTCGTCCGGATGCAAAAGGGATTCTGAATTGGAGCAGAGGATGCTGAGAGCCCTAAAGAGCAAGGTCTAAGAGACGGTTTCCATTGTTCTTCAATGACAGTTCTACTTGCTGCTCTTTGAGGGTGCCGGCTGAGATGAGAATCCTACTCAGAAACTAGATGCCACTGCCTATGTTCCTAGAGCGGTAGCTCCTCAGGCTGAGGCAGGATTGCTTGAGTTGAATTGTGGGGTCAGCCCAGGAAACCTTGTCTGGTAAAATGCTAGTCTGAATATTTCAGTGGCCAAATCTAGGAGTAAAGGTGTCTGGGGCACAACCAGGTACAAAAAAATGTCCCGTGGGCTTGGACATAGTTATAATCCTAGCATAGCTGTTTAAACACAATTCTGGGGCTGGAACATGGCTCAGCAGTTAAGAGCACATACTGTTCTTGCAGAGGACCCAAGTTTGATTTCCAGCATCCACAACCCTGGCAGCTCCAGGGGGCTCCCACATCCTCTACTGGCCTTTCTATTCATGTGCACAAAAACACACAATAAATGCTGGGTGGTTGTGGCACACACCTTTAATCCCAGCAAGCACTTGGGAGGCAGAGACAGGTGGATCTCTGAGTTCTGAGGAGAGGCTGATCTACAGATCAAGATCCAGGACACCTGTCTTGAAAAGCCAAAACACCAAATGATAAACTAATGTTTTTTGGAGACAGACTGTGTAGTCCTGGCCTATCTTTTCCTCCAGAGTGCTGGGATTAAAGAGGCATCCACCACCATGTCCAGCTGTAAATTAAAAAATAAAATGAAAAAAAAAAAACAAAAAACTAAAAACCAAACCACAACCTGGGGGTGGTAGTGGTGGTGAACCTACTGCCCAAATTCTAAGTGGCCTTTGAACAGATCTCTAAGTCCTGTCCCCAGGCTGCTCTGAAGACACCTTGGCTGGAAACGCCTGGGGGATGAAGTCTTCCTCTGCAGCATCTGAGTCTCTTCCAAAGAGTTGGAAGCATCCTCAGCTTATCTTCTGCATACCAGGTTTTAACACTCAAGACAGCACATGCACATACACACCACACATGATACAATTGGTGGATAATGGTTCTGGGCACAGGAACAACGCACTGGGAGCAGGGCAATCGCTTCAGGCGCTTTTATTAGGTTCCACTGCAGGGCTAGGGTCAAAGAAATACTAGTCCACACCCAGCCAATGCACACCTATGAGCCCAAAGCAGAGCCGAAGCGGGAGCACCCATGTCCCAGGAGCAGGCTAGTCAGAGCAAGGCCAGGGCTAGGCCCCATTTCTGAGCCTGAAGAGGACCATGGCAGCCACTGGGTTCACTTGGGTAGGTATACCCACAGGTACCCCTTTCTGGGTTATAGTGCCTGATGGCAGGAGGGATTAGAGGTGGGACTAGGGCCACCTCCATGTAGGAGGAGGTAGCTGAGAGGCTCAGGCCTGAACTTCTGTAGGGCTCACCCCAAGCTGGTAGCATTAGCTTGACTCTCTTTGGACAATAAAATAAAGTGCATTACTGAACAAAGAGTAACTGAAAACCATAAGCAGAGAAATCACAACAATTTCTTTAGCTAAAAGACAGAGAAAACAAGAATTATTTGGATGCCAGAACATGAGAAAAGTAATTAACTTTGTAGACAAAGATGAATGGGGAATAAGTAGTGGCAAAAAGGTCTCCAGAGTCTGTGCTGCCCAGCACCTGCCCAGCATGTACAATGGTGCCAGTATAGTCAGCATCGGGAACACAGCTATGCTAGGACATCCAGTCTACCAGATCTCAGGGACCAGGAAAGACAGGGAGACTACCAGGAAGGAGAAAGATAGCCCTCAGCACCTTCTCTGTAGGCTGTTGGTAGGGTGGCTGGAGAGACTGCTTGCTCTCTACCTCCTGACCCTCCAGGATGACCCTGTCAATACTAGACCAAACTCAGTGGGTCCAGAGCCCCTGGGCCTTTGACTTCAGATTGCATGCCAGGTGAAACCTGACCCTAGCCCTGCCCCATGAAGACCTAGCAGACAAGTGTCCTGCCCACAGGGCTAAGGATGCGGAAGGCAGCATGGCCGCACTCTACTAGAGTGACACATATGGCCTCCAGCAGCCTGCGGTTGGCATGGCCTTTCCCAGGGTAAAGGACAGCTGACTTAGCTCTCATTAAGGCAAAGAGGCATCAAGATATCCATATCTTAACCTGGGTAAGAGCTGTCACAACACAGCCACAAGGGACCCTCAGAGACCATTTTTAATTGCCCACACCTGTCCAAGCCTCATGGTGGCCACATGGGCACCTTTTCTAGACTGTCTCAACTGCTACAGCACGTGCAAGAAGGCCACAGTGTAGGAGGCCTTGGGAAAAGGAACAGTGCTGGGAGGGACCTGAATCCCAGGGCTGGCCCAAACACCTGAAGGGACTACCAGGCAAGAGCCACCACTGCTCTGCTAAACCACCCAGGCTACCAGCTGCCACCATCCTGTGGCATGGTAGGAAAGTCTCAGGCACTGAGGTTTGCTTCCGAGGAGAACTGATGGTGGCCCCTGCCCATAACCACCTGACCACCGAGAGGGACTGCACTCAAGAGGAAAGAAAGCAGAATTACATTGCTCTCACTCCCGTCTGTGCAGTTTTATCTTCAAAACAATAAATAAAAGTTTTCTGGGCAGGAGTTACTGATAACTGCTGATTTCAGGCAAGGGCAGGGACACACCACACTGCAGGCCAGACCGAGGACCACAGCTAGCCACCCATGCTCCCAATAGGAGGAACACATCCCACAGCAAGGGAACAGAGACAGCCAGGAGCATCCATCCAAACACTGGGGAGAAGGTGGGAGGCAGAAAACAAAAAGCATAGAGGAAGGAAAGACAGCGGGGGTGACAGCAGCAACCTCTCTGCACCCCCAATTTCAGGTGATTGTTTGGAGGTGCTCAGTCCTTCCAATACAGTAGGGAGCTATTAACTAGGTGAGGCATGTGGGGTGCTCTTGGGCAGGGCTGCTCTGCCCTTCCAGTTGGGAGGTTCTGTTCAAGCCCAGCATAGCAGCTGGGGCGCTTTCTCTTCAAGATCCGCAATGAGAAGCCTCAGTGTATCCGGAATACCAGGGCAGCTGGCCCACTGCTTCAGGGCTGTCGGCTTGGCCTTATAGGAAACATGTGGCGCTCCAGGCTTCAGAGAGGGCTGGGCTGGCCCAGTCCCGCTCAGTAGAGGGCCAGAGCCCTAGGTCCTGGGGAGGCTGCACATCTCGCAGTGGCCAGTGCCAGGCTGGTTCATGAAGGTGCAGTGCTGACAGGCCCACATGGCAGAGGTAGCAGCACGTGCCGAGCCCCCGACTGCGCCATATTCCTGGAGAGCTGGGAGCTGCACACCAACGGTGCCTGTAGGGTAAAGAGCAGCGAGAACACATCACTTCTGCACAGGAAAGACATCTCCTCAAGTTCTACGGCCAGGGCAGAGGTGGCTCCAAAGTCCCAAACTGTCGGCACAAAATCTGTGCTGGCTCCAGTCAGCAAACACCCCACCCTGCTGTGCACTAGAAGCTCGATCCCTTGTTGCTAGGTATTCATTCCTGTGACAACATCACACCCCTGTGGTGGGTCTCTGGGTAGTTTCTTACATAAACTCTTTGTGGACTTGAATCTTACTTTCTCCTGGTAAAGGTCCAGCTGCATCAGAGGCCAAGCATCTGTAGCACACCCCTCCCTCCTCCAGACAGGGTTTCTCTGTGTAACCACTCTGGCTGTCCTGGAACTAGCTTTTGTAGATCAGGCTGTCCTCAAACTCACAGAGATCCACCTGCCTCTGCCTCCTGAGTGCTGGGCTTAAAGGTGTGTGCCACCACCAGCAGCTCTGTAGCATTTCCAAAGAAAGTCACATCCATTCCCAAGTAGAGTTCAAGTCCAACCTGCCCCATGTTCAACAGTGCCCGATACTGTCAGGTTTTTGTGTTTTGTTTTTTCATTTTAGCTACTCTGATGAATGTGCAGTGGCACCCCAAGTTTTTTTGTTTTGTTTTGTTTTGTTTTTCGAGACACGGTTTCTCTGTGTAGCTTTGCACCTTTCCTGGAACTCACTCTGTAGACCAGGCTGGCCTTGAACTCACAGAGATCTGCCTGGCTCTGCCTCCCGAGTGCTGGGATTAAAGGCGTGTGCCACCACCACCTAGCTTAACTGTTTAATTTTCAACTTAAACAATCTTTTGTGCCTGGGCAAGCACTATACCAACAAGCAACACCACCAGCCAACCCTGAACTCAGTGTATAGCCCAGTGCTAAGCGCTGGAATTTACAGGTGTGTGCTGTCGTCCCCGCCATCTCTGCTCACTCTCCTGTGAAAGCCATCCTCTTCAGTTGGCCGCGCTGATCCATGCTCACTCCTAACCAGTGTGTCAGATTATCTACCTTCCTGTCAACACCATGTTGGTGGATCACTGAAACTTTATGCTTGAGGTCAGACAGGTGACTTCTCTAGCTTTTCCCTTGCCTTTCAGGTGGACTTGGCTTTTCTAGATTGTCTATATCTCTAAATAAATGTTAGAACCTGTTAATTTTACTTTACTTAAAAAAAAAGTTGTCACAAAACAAGATACTTGGGAACACCTTGTATGTATTAGGTAAATTCTATGCTGGAGCTACCATGACACCAGTAGAGTTGGTAAGTATAAAGCATGCCAGCCGGGCGGTGGTGGCACACGCCTTTAATCCCAGCACTCGGGAGGCAGAGCCAGGCAGATCTCTGTGAGCTCGAGGCCAGCCTGGTCTACAGAGATCTAGGAAAGGTGCAAAGCTACAGAGAGAAACCCTGTCTCGAAAAACCAGAAAACTAGAAAAAACTGGCTCTGCTTCCCAAGTGCTGGGATTAAAGGTGTGCGCCACCACCACCTGGCCTTGTTTTTTGAGACAGGGTTTTACTGTATAACAGCCTTGGCTGCCCTGGAACTCACTCTGTGGCTGGCCTCTGCCTCCCAAGTGCTGGGCTCCAAGGTGTGCACACCATGCACAGCCTGGTGTCTTGTTTTGTGACACTGTCATAAACAGTACTTGGTTCTCACCACCGATCTTGTGCACAGGACTGGACCATCAGACATGGACTTTTAAGGAGTTAGACCCTGTCGCCTGCAGCACTGGAAACTGTTTTGTTACCACACTGGAGTGTGGGGGATGGTGGCGACACATAAGGTGCTCACAAATACCTTTTCAGACCAAGGATCTAGCTGGTGCATACAATCACAGCGTAAAACTACAAACCCAAGGATTACAGGCTGGTTAGTATGTGGCCACATCAGCAACCATGACATATACCCACCCAGCCTCCATGGCTGCCTGTGTTTGTCCCTTTGCTCAATCCTTTCAAGGAGGGAGCTGGGTTAGAAGTCCAGGGTTTAAATGACAGAGCTCATGCCCCTGGCAGAGGGGAAGAGAGGACACTTACTGCAAAGCTGCTCAATGGTGGCCCACTGTTCAGATTTTTTCCATGTCTGTGCTAGCTCCTCATTTCTGGTCCTCACGGCTTCTAGCAGCAGGCTGATACTGTCCTGTAAGAAGTCACAACAAAGGTTCCACTTTGCTCTGAGGGGAAAAGACTCTTACTATCTTTTTTCCCTTAATATCAATAACATCTTTCAAAGAAAATTGAAAATAATCTCAGAAGCTGTCACTGCAAAATGTAAGATGTGTTAGATCTAACTGGGAATTCAACTTAGTGGCAGAGTGCATGCCTAATGAACCCATACTGGGTTCAATCCCCAGTATGCAGAGAGAGAGAGAAAGGTATTAAATAAATACATTTAAATGCTAAAGTTAACCAAAACTTAATTTCTTCTCACATAGCCCCCACAACAAAGAAGGCACACACCTAGGTCCTAGAGACAGTTTTAACAGGAGCCCACGTCTGTAAGACCTATCCTCCTCCCTCACAATCTGCCCTCTGCTTTTATTCTTCTCCATCGTGCCCGCAAACTATCTATAGCCTTTGGGGGTCAACATACAGAGAGAAGTCTCTACA